TGTATATCAGTGAGTTACCTCTGCCCACCGACTCCCCTATACGCAGATGACTTAAAAATTTGGGGAGAGCTGAGGGGCAACAGTGATACATTCACGCTGCAAGACGACCTCGACAAATTGTCAGAGTGGTCCGTAGAATGGATGCTCCCGATCGATGTGGCAAAATGTGCAAACATGCGCATTGGGCAAGCAAGCACAAGCTCCTACGAACTAGAGGGAATAACACTTTCGTCAGTTCAGACTCACTTGGACTTAGGTGTCATAGTTAGCCACGACTTAAAAACTACAGCACACTGTCGCGCGGTGGCTGCACGTAGTTTCAGGTCCTTATGGGCAATTCGCAGAGCCTTTACTAAAATCACGAGAGATATGTTCACCTCCTTATATACATCTCTGGTGAGATCAAGACTGAAAAACTGCATCCGGGCTGCCAGTCCTTGTCTAAAAGGGGATTCACACATTCTAGAAAGTGTTCAAAGGAAGGCAACACGTATGGTTCGGGGCATAGCTAACTTATCATACGAGGAAAGACTAGATAGTTTAAATCTCTTCTCACTGTCATACCGTAGACAGAGAGGAGATTTAACCACAATGTTTAAAATTTTAAATAATGACTACGGACCTGACCTATTCTCTCTTTTCCTCCCCACCAGGTCGGAACACCTTAGAGGACATAGCAGGAAAGTTCAAAAGCCAAGGGGAAATCATATTGCTGTTGGGTACTGTTTCTCATATCGAGTCATAAACTCTTGGAACCGACTCCCGGAAAAAGTGGTGTCTGCAACATCAACTGATTCGTTCAAGAAGGGTTTTAGCAAGCTCAGAAATTTACTTGAAAGGAATAAGCATGGGATTTAGGCCTGCTGTAGTCAACCAATAAATCTGAATCTGAAACAGCATCCGTTTGTAATGCTTAGCGATTTGATTGTCTAGTTCATATGATTTTGACTCTTCTGTTTTACTCTTCCAACATCTTTGGAACTTATACATATATTTATTTGTTTCCTTAGGCTAAAAAATGTAACGCGTGTCCGATCTTATTATTATTTCAAACCCCGCCTTAATATAGCGGAATATACGTATTAGCCGCACATCTACTCAAAGGCAGCCTGTAGACGGACGTAGGTCATTTGATCAGCTGATGGATATTGGCGTTATTTATTGGAGAAACGTCAAGGTTAGGGCATTTTTCGTTGTTTTTCACACTTTTTTACCTATATTCCTGCTAAAAGTTGATGAAATGCGGCCTATTGAGCAGAAAGAGCATATGGTGGTGTCCTTATCCGGACGTAGCTTACAGGCAGTTCACAGTTTGCTGAAAATACATAATTTTTCCGTTCAGAAAATGTCTAATTACTTGAAGTCACATGTTATAACGACTTTTTGTGAATTTATTTTGCAGTTTAATGGATTACACATGGACATGATGAGGTGGGATAGCTCGTTTTGGTAATTATTTCACTTACTTTGTTGTGTACTTTGCCTAAATGCTGACAAGGCTCCTCCACATGTATTTCTTTAAGAAAAATCTGCAGAAATACTTAAAAGCTATATATGTATAGTATTTCCTTATTTGATGGCATAAACTTGATGTTAGCAGGCAGATGGAATATCAACTTTGCATTATTGAAAAATGTTGACTAACATAATTATATACAGTTCGAATCATTATTTTGTCATTTTAAGCATATTTAATGGTTAATTATTGTGTTTACACTGATGACAATGTCTACATCTGTATAATTCTTATGTTCTTTTTCAGATAATATCTACTTTCGGGAATTTCATGGATTTGGGTGATAAAGAAAAAGATACCTGCACTGTTGTCGATTTTGTATTACATGTTAATTCATTAATAAATGTATTCCTTGTTATTCGTGTGTTTATTCTACTTGATAAGACCGAATATTAGCCCTTGCGTAATTTGTGAGGTATAGAGTATGTGAGGCTATCTTTGAAATACTAAGTAGGAGCACATATTCGGAGAGGCCTATTGGTAAAACATTATGTTGTAGTCAAATGAGGTAAATATGTCTAAATCGTAGAGGAGGTATTGCCATTATAAAGCGTTTCGAGTTATCTGTCGTCTTAGCAGAATACATATACTGATTCGTGATTCATAGTCACAAAGTGAGAGTAAATCTACCTGAGATAATTTGCTTGTGATTTCTGCATGCCGCAGTATACCATAAGGAGAGACTATACCTATGCTGTTAGATGTATGACTCAGTGCAACTACGGTTATCGTAATAATTAAAAACAATGCCTAGGGTTCTCAGCCAAAGAACACGATACGTTGCTATCTGCTCATATAATCACGTAAACAAAAGTTTTCCAGACGCCGCATTTACTCCTAGCAGTTTACCCTCGATTTCTAACTTAGCACGTGCTACCTATGTTACTGGAACACAATCGCATTACAACAGAAGGAAGACAGATTCACTGAAAAATTGTTTATTAAACAAAAATCAGATTTCAAATGTACAGATAATTCAGATGAGTAGTTCTCTGTTACCGTCGGTAAGTTCCATCTGCGTACACGGTACATATATGTTTTTCCATAAGCCTGAAAAGGTTTAAGAAAAGCATAATTAACTAGGGTATTACATGTATGATCTGAATAAAAAATTTTCCTGATAAGCATTTACAAGTAATCACTTTACAAACAATATATATATATATAAGTAGCCCAATAGTTTTCACTAAACTTAAGGGACTTCGCAACTTATCGTTTGTCGATATCTAGTAGGTCCATCGAAGCATCATAAAATGATAAAATTATTTAACGACAAGTTATGCAGTAGTTTCTAAAGCTTGTACGAATATTTTAGCAAAAATGGCAACCACTTTATGACAAATAATAGGTCTTGACAGCAATAATAATAACATTCATGTTCATAATGACTATAAAAACAATAATAGGTATTATTATCGCAACAAATTCATCATTAACTTAGATAAACAACTAACAATAATACAATCATATCAAATAAATGTATCACTTAATCTTAAGAAGCATGTGTTTACTTACTTTCATTGTATTCTCTCAATACTGATGTGCTCAACAAGCTTATTCCAACTGAATGCAAGATTAATTCTGAAAGTGAGTGAAGATCCAGCTTATGTCAAATAAAAACATGTAACTTACATGTATTACACTGCTTACTGAGACATCTGGTACCTGCTTTCCGATCTTCGTGACAAGAACACAGTTCATCTAGGTTTACCTACATATACAAAAGTATACGTATATGCTGCATCAACCATGCCGTTTTTATCATGATTAGCCAGACCACTGTGTATATTATACTTATTTAAGGATCTCTGGAAATAATGGTCAAGCGATAATTGAAGTTGCGTGAAGTTATTACCTCTTCAAGACATTGTTTGCATTCTTGACACTCCTAAGAAGTCCTTAGGGCGAAGTTTAAGAATAGCGTCCCAAAACCTTCAACGCTCAAATGACCTTGAACGCATGCTAGTCGTTGGCTAACGGTTCCTGTCATTATCATAGCTGAAATATCAACCCTATTCATCAAATAAGGAGCAAGTTTCACCCAGATAACACTTTTATTACTGTTTGGACAATGTGTTAACATCTCGTTAGGGTTAGGATGGGGGTTAAGGCGAGTATTGTGGTTAGGGTTAGGTTTACGGTCATTGTGTGCGTCGGTGGCACAATGGTTAGGGTTATGGTTAGGGTTAGGTTTAGGGTTTAGGGTTAGGGTTATGGTTTAGGGTTAGGGTTAGGGTAGCGATTAGGAATAGATTTTTCGTTTATTTCAAGTTCTTTTGTTATCCTTATTTCCCTTGTATGTAGTCGCCAATGCTCATACTGGAACCATAGTAACTAAACGGAGGGCTGGAGAGAGGACTACACAGCAAGAGAAGAGAGATGAACCATTCCCAAAACAGCACACCTTCAGTCTCTTTGGTGAATACATCTACAGAAACTAGTCCAAATTAGCAACTGATACTCTTCATCGCAACTGGAACGTATTTTTAAGTCATATCAGAGAAATATAATCCGTTTAATGTTTTTTTCATGCATTTTTGTGTAAATATACGCTAAATTTTATGCAAAATCCCTCCTATTTTCTGATTGGTCGGCTCAAGGTCATTGTGCGTTCGCATCTCTTGGGACTCCATTCTTAAACTTTGCCGTCCTTAGATCGTAATTTGGCATGAATTCGTTGAATTCAGCAAATAAATCTACTGCTATATCATTTCTTTCCTGAGCTGTAATAATTTGTGTTGTCAGTTATCTCTCCAATTTGATAAAACGCTCACGGAAATTCAGGACTTAACCAAGCAGCAAAATGATGTTTGAAATTACCTCAACTCGAATGACAAACTGGCCAATCACAAGCGAGCGAATCGCTTGTTTATCTCATTCGCGGTCACTCAAAATTACGTCCGTCGACAGGGCAATCACAGTACGCACAAGTAACCTTCAGGTGTTCAGCCTCTCTGTAAGACGTTTGTGCCCCTATTCGCGTTCGAGATGTCTTCTTTATTGTGTGTTCTTTGGATAGAAGCATGACAAACTGCAAGCTAAGTGAGGTAAGTACCACGATAATCATTATGCATCTGTATCCGCTGATTGAGGGTTACATTTTATATTGGAACGTCATCGTTCACCATTCGCAAAATATGACCTCAATTTTCGCAGAAAATAACACTGCGTTGCCTCATGAAATTTATTGTGCAGTCCGCGTAAATTCAGTATGGAGCTTTTATGTCACTATAGCCATGGTTATGCATAGAAAAGTATAATTTAGAGTGGAGTTTCACACTAGGTTCAAGTGGTTCACGTCCCAATAGTAAAAAATTGGCTGAAAAATGACTAAAATGGTCATGGTCTCGGGCAGATGCTATGAGCGCTGGGTGAACTCTGGTTAAATAATGGTAAAAGTGGTAAGACAGTGCTTAAATTATGTTTAGAATAGGAAAGTGGCAGTTGACTACTTTGAGAGTACTGGTGAAGTTTTGGTCTGTCAATGGTCCAAATGGGGAAATATATGTCATGTAACCAGGATTTGCCCACCTTTTCATACCGTTGGTTTTGCTTATTATCCACCCATTTTCACCAGGTTAGGGAGCTACATTGTTACTGATAATACATTGTTTCTTGCAACAGTGAGATACGATACTCACATTTTCTATTTGATATCTATTATAAGTGATATAAGTTATTAATAAACCCTGAATGTAGTGATGCGTAAGCACAAATCTGAATTGTTCTTGGATTATGATGACACGACTCTGCATTGTACATGTGCTAAAGCTTAGGTCCGCAATAAAGATGCCTGGGCACTTATCAGTATGCACCATAAACATCATAAACTAAAGACTGATATCTTTTAGAACTCGTGCGATAATAACCTAACTACTTGGGGTTCAACCAAATCATGACATATTTAGTTTTATGATGTTAAAACTAAATATCTGCATGCTTAGCGCCAGTTGCATTTCCACTGATTCCAGCCAGTTAATGTCTCTGTATTTGAGTATGTCTTGGCTAGTCCTCTTGGAATCCCTAGTTGAGTTATTATTTCCTTAAGTATGATGGATTTTAAGACCCTATCGTAGCATACAATGCATGTGTAATACAAGACACTTACTTGTCATGCAGCCCTTAAGACGTTTCTCCAATTAGCCTCACTTCTACAAAGTAATGTGAACTAGTATACTACAAGTCAATTAGTACTTTGCGGTTTCCTGTATAAATGAAAGTGTAGTTCAGTAAATATGTATCGTCTAATAAATTGCACACAGATGAAGACAACCTGAAGATTTAGAACGAGGATCTGTCTACTTGGTCGCTGACTGAAATTTCACCCTTTTTGTTGCATGTGGGACTGGTAATATATATAAATTTAAGTGAAAGGTGCTTCTATAGTAAAACCACTTCACTAAATCCCAATTTTCAGCTGGAAGCATACATCGTAAAGAAAGCCAGTATTAGCATCGTGTATTTTGAAGTGTGCATAAACTGTTGCAACAACTTTAGCTTGATAAAAACCACTGCGTGTCTTACATAAATAAAACGTGATGACCTAGTTAGAAAAGTTACCTGTTTTCAGGCTACAAATCTTGGAGGCTGTGGAGCGTTGTAATAGTGTTTGCTGTCGTGCCTCTAATATCAGTCCCCTGAAATTTGACTTTATAAGGAGGAAAGAGTTAATAATTTCTCCAGCGGGCAAACCAACAAACAACTTTATGTTGCCTTAGTTTTCTAAATACTTTATTATTGTTGGTTTTTGAGAGCAGATTGACCGAAACTTTGGTTGTTTCTACTTTACGAAGCTAGTCAATTCTAATAAGTTAGCTGTAACCTTTTGATATGGCTTACAGGAGGTGGTTTTGATGTAATGCTGCTTTCCCCGACTGATAGCTCATACCTTGACATGGTGGTTGCCCTTGCATATCTCAATTACCCAACAAGCTTCACTGGCTAGAATTAATGTTCCTGCAGGTCCTGCCATGTCAGGAAGATTGTTAGGATGGCGACTAGACTAAAAGCAGCTACCGACTTAGTGTAAGATATTTCGCCCTGTGCCGTGGGCAAGGTTGTACTGCCGGGGGACAGGAATGTAAAAGCAATGAGGTGTTCCCGTCAGATGGCCAGCATGCCATCCATGCTGTGTCTACACTATGAAGAGGGGCGGTTAGAGAAGGTCGACCCCAAAATTTGTACATTCTGACTTACCTCACGGTGGTCAGTTACAGGTGGTTACACTAATACGCAGTCAAACCTAACAGAGAGGCCGTGTTTGGCGGGATTCAAGCAGTTATCCCTTGTCCTCTGTGGTCACGCAACACTTATTCTCTGTCTGTTTCATATACCCCAAAATTAATTCAGCTTCCATGATTTGAGCAGCTGGGAAGTAACAGTCAAGCGAACACTTCCAAAAACACACGCAGCCCTCCTGAACATCATTCTCCTTTATCCCCGTCACCCCTATCATCTTGCTTCCCTACTTCTGTCAATACTGTGCTTCAGGCCGGCTTAGCATCTTTATTTCATTGTGACCACAAATAACAATGAGCCGGAAAAGTACCCCCCCCCCCGATAATGTCTTAGGGCCACACCTTCAACTTCATATTGGAGCATTTAAAATCAGAACTCTCTGTCAAATCGGACAACAGGCAACACTAGCCAGAACTCTATCATCTCGAGCCATAAATTTTTGTTGTGTCTCGGGGACACGCATACAAGACCCGAGTGTGGTCATTCACTTAACCCCACCCGGCCAACAAGGTAAGTCTGCAAAATACACCTGAAGGATATCAGTGGATTCCTCAGCTGGTTCGTGAGGGCTTGGAGATGGTGGGATGGCGTTGAGTGTTAGGGTAGGAAAACCCCTTCTTGACTGGATCCCAGTAGATAGTCGTATGTATGCAGTTTGTCTGAACGGGTCCGTTAGAAGAAGAAAGGATCACGTTACCCGTCATTATCTTTTCATAGTCTCCGCTTACGCCTCAATGAACTGCAGTTCGGATGAACTAAAGAATGATTTCTATCAGAAACTGTCTGGTCTGCTGCCAAAAGCAAAAGACTCAGATATAGTTGTTTTAGCAGACGACTTCAATACACCCAAGTAGGGAAGTTATGCCAGACTGAGAAGTGTATAGGTGATAAGTACGGAATTCCCTCCCAACAAACCGACAGTGGTGCTCGTCTTCTGCAGTTCTGTTCAGATAATCATCTGTTCCTAGTCAGCTCTAACTTTAGGCACAAAGAGAAACATTGCCTAACCTGGTGACCTCCATTACCAAATCAACGTTGGACTCTCAGAAATCACTTAGAGACAGGCTATCGTTGGCGAGGGTGATTGGAAGACTGCGGCTACTTCTGGAACACGTGCGTAGACTCCGATCACGCACTGGTTCGCGCACGTTTATGCTTACGATTAAACGGACTTAAAAAACTGTTGGCTGCGAAGCAGTTACGCCCCCGACTAGATCAAGACACCGAGTCCCTGTTTAAGGAAGAAACAACGGAACAAGTATCTGAAGCTGACATCAAGACTCCTCCTGAGGAAATTTTGCACAACATACAGTTAGCTGTAGGCGCAGATGTAAACGCTGGTAATATAAAACTAAAAGCCAGTGGATTACTACTACCTCATCTTAACTGATTAACGTAGGAAGACTGATACCGGCAGGCTCTGAAAATGATGAGCAGCGAAAGCTGCTTGAACGCAAACTGTCTTCTTAACGACCGTGGATGTTGGAAAAAAAAACTTTGAGGAGCAATTTACTTGATCGACAGCCACGCTCAACTTACCCAGCATCAAACACCTACCTGAATAGGATATAAGCACCGGTCCTCCGTCCCTAACTGAGGTTACTAAAGCTGTCACTAGTCTGAAACGAGGCAAAGCTGCGGGACCTGGCAGAATGACTCCAGAGTTGTCTAGAGACGGTGGAGAAAGTTAACTGCCTGTGTTAACCAAGGTATTAGGCAATGTCTGGGAATCAGAGGAAGTCCCGTCGAGCTGGTGTGCCATTGATTATCACCATAGACAAGAAGGGAGACAAGTCTTTCTGTGATAATATGGTATTTAAAGTTCCAGGCTCTATAATCATACGTAGGCCAAGAGGTTCTCGAAGGGAAGAAACACGAGAAAATCAGACAGGCTTTAGACCAGGAAGAGGGTGTATCGATCATATCTTCACCCGTCGACAGATTCTGGAATATAGGCATAATTACCAGGGTCCAATAACCGTTATATCGATTCCGTCGACCGAAAGGCGATATTTTTCGGTAAATGTTGAGAAAATATATCGCACTGATCAAGGTGAGTTGTCATCTGAAGTGGTGACAACTAGTGGTGTCTGACAGGGATGCCCACTATCCTTATTTCTATTCATTTTCATCATAGATGTACTAATGGAATTGACCCTAACTGACTTCAGTGACTCAGGGATTGACTTGTTACCACCAGGAAATAATCTCGTTGACTTAGAATATGCAGATGATATAGCCCTTCTAGGTGAAGAGGCTGACACAATAGAACATAGTCTTCTGAACACCTTGGGCTGCAATCTACGAATGTTTGTCATGCGATTCGCTCCCGCCAAATGTAAGATGATGCTACAGTACTGGACTACACCGAATCCTAGTTTAAAAATAGGGAGTGAAGTGGTAGAGCACGTAGACCGCTTCACTTATTTGGGAAGTATCATCAGCCAGTGACGACGGGTTGATCTCTGACGAAATCTCAGCACGGATACAGAGGGCTAGTTTCGCATATGCCAGTTTACGCCATCTCTGGCGTAGACGTGATATCCGGCTTTCTACCAAAGGACGATTGTACTGCTCAGCAGTTCGCTATGTCCTCCTTTATGGCTGTGAGCGAGACGTTTACATTGAGAGCGGAAGACATGAAAAGGCTAGCTGTCTTTGATCATAGGTATCTGTGTTCTATCTCCCGTGTGCAGTGGTATAATAAGGTGAGCAATATTGAGGTAAGGCATTGAGTGCTAGATAAGGAGGGGAAATCAATCGACGAGGCTGTGAGGTTACACCGATTGAGATGGTTAAGACATGTGTTACGTCTGCTTAGTCATCGCCTTCCTCGACGGGCAATGTTAGCCGACATACTATCGGATTCGATAAGAGCTAGTAGTGGTCAGACGAGAACATGGCTTCATCAGTCAATGAAATCCACTACAGTTAGTTTAAGCCACGTAGACTTCGTGTTTGGGGTCCTCGGGATGCTAAAAAGTAATGCCTGGAGACAATTGGTGATATGGCTCAAAATCGTTCTCTCAGATTTATATTGTCCAATAATATTCTCTTTTTCTTCCATGTTACTGTTTTTTTTGCTTCACACTTCTCTTTACTGACTTCTCTTGTTTCGTGTGCTACATAGTGTGGCAACGTGAAATGCTAAACATCTGCGAATTTCTACGTTGAAAACAGTCAGTCAATGCCCCGGTCCCATGAAAAACCTTTCGCTTTATTCTTGTTCAGTTTCAATTTGCGATCCCTCTGTGTCAGTTCGTTTGCACAAGAGTTCATATCTGAACTTTGAAATTGACTGAGTTTTCAACGTAAGAATTTACACATAAGTGCAGCTGTTTAAGTTGCTCCACACCGTATAGCACACAAATATTCAAAGAAACTGTAACGAACAAAACTATACGGGAGAAAGGACAAGTACATAGCTAATGAGAATTCGATGGATCTAGGACATCATGAAGAGTGAATACATTTACACCATTGAGAACGATTGAAAGCTGTACCACAAGCCGTCTGCATTCACTGGTTACTCGCCTCTCTAGGACACAAGTTAAGTAGTCCCTTCATAGCTCAAGCCAACAATAAAAGTCTTCGTGAATTGATGCCATGGTTTGACCACCCCTAACTCTTTTCAATCCCAAACCTATATCAGCTAACACTGTTGGACAAGGAAGATGATATTTTGTAATGTTAACACGTATCGTAGCCATCTCAATTTTTGTGGTGTTATCAAGCTACATGAATGTAGCACTCTGTTTTTCTTACCCCAAAAGGATCACGCAAACTAGCCTAAGAATTTCATAGACTATCGTTTGGGTCAAGTGGGGTTGAGTAGACAACCATTCCTTGGTTTTCACGAATGTCTGCGAAATTCATGACTCAAAATGCCAGAGTTCTGGCTAATGTGCCTTATCGTCTAATTATACATAGACTCGACATTGATTGCTCCAACATATTTTATTGAGAAATTATTAGTGTATTTCTGGCCCTGGTCTCCGTTAACGCTTTTTTCCAACCTGTTTAATACCAAAGCCTAAGTCTCAGTTTTCCTTCCTTGATTTCTCGCATGATGGATTTTATGCAGCTTTTCTTGTGACCCACTTTCAGTTTTTTATGCTCTTGTTTCAAATAACTGTTCTTCACCTTGTTAATTGGTTTTACGTATTCTTGATTTCGTAAGACTGTTCATAATCTTCCACACATTGATATTTCTCTTACATTTTGACTTATTTCTGACAGTAACTTCACGCCCTAGTGAGCAACCAGCACTTTACATGTAAATCACAAAGTGTTATAGAAGTTTTGTACTTATTATTATTATTAAAACGCAAACTTGGTACGTTATGGACACCAAAAGATGCGCCACTTAAACTCATGGTTTGTGCAAGGGCAGGTATACTGCTCGAGCACCCATACCAAAGCTAGTGGTTATCTTAAGGGGTCACAATCGAGAGTTAGACTTTTGAAGTCTGATCCACAAGGCTCTTAGTCAGCTTCAGGAGCTACGTTTCCATTTTTGTCTTTTACTCAAACAGGTTCATACACCTTCCGATTTTTTTCGGATTCCTGAAGCCCATGTACACCATAGGTTCAGAATCAGAGTTTCCCACCTCCCCTAGGCAGGTCATCAGTCCGTTTGTAAATGCCAGACGTTCACATTCGCCCTTTTATTTATGCGACGGACAGCTGTTGCGTGAAGGTAGGGAATAGAGGTACTTGGCAAAGGCGATGAAGTTCTTTTGTGACTTCACAGCTTTGGGAAGAAGCTATGAAAAGTGACCTCTTTGCTAACTTATGTGCTCTTAATACATAATTTGTCAAATCACTAATGTTGGGGAAGCATGGGTTAAGAACTTTTTGGTTAGATGTAAGGTTTCACCATTTATGTATGTCAATCACTTGCTTGATCACCTAGACTGTTGTAGTCTACCTAATTGAGTTTGTTAAAGGCCGCATATGTTCTTTCACTCTGTTACCTTGGGGAACGGTAATACTAGACGTTGGCAGAGAAGTGAATGGACACAGCGAGTCGGGAATAATTCACTACAAGATAAGTAGAAAAATGTGAGTAGTCGTGATAGAATTCTTAGTGACTCGTATGAAGCTGTGGTTGATTGGTCTAGGTGCTCTACTTCCAAACATTCGGTCTCAGGTTTGAGTTCCGCTCTGCTTAGCGCGGTTCTGGTAGTAGTGTAGTATCATTAGCCCTCACACAACCTGTTTGGCTAATTACGAACTTCAATGAAATGTAAGTGGTTGGGATAAATATCAGTTGTGTGGTGATTAAACATCAGTGTGTCTGTGAATCTTGTTATGTTTTTTTTCTTGTTATAATTGTCTATTTAATATTTGAGTGTTATATCAATGTAACAACGCTTACTTGATATTCATAGAATCGAATAGCGTTTGATCGCACCTTCTATTACTCTACATTTTTCAAACTCTCAGAATAGTGAACTTTACTTAATTTTATTGTATAACTAAACAGAAGAATAACGTAATTAATCTATACCATATAGCAGGAAATATATCATCTAACTTCTAAAATCACTACTTTATAAATCGATGCTTAAATTTGTCCAATTTATTTTTCAGAATGTTATCTGTAAATTTTGTGAAGGCTATTATGACTTTGGTAGTGAACAACCAGTGTGTTCATCTTGTCATGCTTTTATTTATGAATTCAGTCTGCCTCAAATGACTGAAAATCGATTTTTTGAAGAAAAGGAAGCGTCTAATGATAGTGGTAATGAGGAACCAGATAAAGGATCTGAATTATTCGCAACTGGTTGGAATTCTTTCAGTTTAGAAGTCACACCACATGATCATGCACATGTCAAAGCTCGACAACCATGTGGCCGAATGTTTTCAGCCGCCTGTCCCCTACAACAGCCTCACGTTATTGCATCCTACTCCAGTTACCCTGTAACCGACTATGTATCACCAATTTTTAAGAGAAAAATCAAATCCTGTGGTTCACGCATTTCTCCAAATCTTGAAGATCTTCCAACTGAAATTTTGCTCCGTGTATTTTTAATGTTGGATGATATATGCCTGTGGTCTCTGCGTCAAGCTTCATCTCGATGTCGCTCAGTAATAGACAGTGAAATATCTGAGCAACAATGGGAATCCTATGTATTATTTCGATGGCCACTGTTCAACCCAAATTGTCGAATTGAAAGTTGGAGGCTACTCTACCTCAATATGATGGAAAGTGTCACTTGCAGGTTTTGTTTGGAACGCCTACGTCTACCGGTATTATTTCCAATGGAAGCTCCAAAAGTTCGATATAAACGTATTAAACATGAATTTGAAAATTTATGCTCTGATCCGCCTTATGGCATCAAAATTATCACGTTAGACACGGAAACGTATTCACATTTCTTAGCTGGTATTGAAGGTCCACCTCAATCCCCATATCAGGGTGGATTTTTTCATGTGCTTATTCTTGTTCCAGATAGTTATCCTTTTCGGCCACCAGTAATACGTTTTCTCACACGTATCCTACATCCTAACATCAGTTTTCATGGTGATGTTGGGTTGGACTCAATTAGACACAATTGGTGTCTAGCTCTGAGTTTAGAGAAACTTTTAATAAGTATTTTAGCGCTTCTAACTGATCCTCATACTCGTATTTGTATGGAGCCAGTAATTGGAGCTCTGTATGATTGGGATAAATATCAATTCGAGGAATTGGCAAAATTATGGACATGGAAATTTGCTTGTCATGATTATTTGTCAGCTGATTTTGTATCTACAATGGTACTTCCAGATTATATTGAACAAACTCACCGACGTCTTAGCTGTCAACAAATTCGATGAATTAAACAGCGAAAGAAAACAGATTTCATTTTACTCAACATTAAGACATAAATTTTGTTTTATTTGGCATATATAAAGCGCCTGTCTATGTAATTTGATGTCATTTTTTGTGCCTTGATAAATATCCCCTTCTCAGTTATTATTTTGCTTTTCGTGTGACACGCACTTGTTTGTACACATACTTCGTCATCTGGCCAACTGGAGCATACAATAATGATAATGATCAATGTCCTTTTTTGTATGGATAAATTAATATTTTTTTAAAGGCTCTCTCATTTTTCACACTAGAAGTTTCTTGTAAGAACAATTAGTTTGCACTTATGTAATTAATTACCTTTGCAAGTTTTTGTATACAGGATTAATTATACTGAATAACTTCTCTCAACGACATTAGCGTTTGTCAGTAGAGTTGTTATCAGTTAGAAAGGTCGTTTTGTGTCGACTGGACAGCAGTTTTTCTTTGTCATCATTGTTCACAAGTGTTGTCAAACAGTGCTTTCTTTTCTTTTTTTAAGTGTTAATACTTATGCATGTTAATGTGAGCCTATACTTGATGACTGTCGTGTGATCAGTCACTTTCAGATACATCATATCCATTGCATTTAATATTTATTATTGTTTGATTTAAACTTGTTCTTATGAAGAAAAAACATTTTTCATCAAATCTTTTTCTGTGTTGTCCTTTTGTTCGACTTACAGTGCGTGTTAATGAAGCATCAGTGATGTTCATACCTTTACCGTCTTATACTGTTTGTTGTATATTTATGTAATGTTACCAGCTATACACTCTGTTGCATGTATACAGAATTTTACTAATTTGTTTTTCTCCTGCCGGGTGAATTGAAAAAAGATCATCTTGTATACATTCTCATATCAAACTCATCTGTGAAAGATTACTTATTTATTTAGTATACTTTGTATTCCTTTATTTCATTTGATTGATCGATTAATTGATTCAGTTGTTATAATGATAAATAAACTTGATCAGAAATATAACTATACTTATATGTTAGTGATTCTGCTTATTTTTATATCAAAGGTTTGCGGGCTTAAATTATTTAAGTGGGTGGTATTAATCACTAGAATGGTATTCAGTATAGACTTTGCCTGATCAATACTAATTTCATAGTGTGTAGTTAGTTATCAGTTATACAGCTTTGAAAGGTGTCGAGAATTCCTATTCCGCAGAGATTATGTGCCTGATTATAAACTTAAATGCCAACATTTAAAGTCATTATTGTATTTGTGACACATATTCATAATCCCGTGGATAGTAAATAATAATCAGTATCTTCATGATTATGGTAATTATTTATTTTCGATTCACTTTAATTTATGTTGTTGAAATGAACGTTCATAGTAAGTCAACTAGTTGGACATTTTGAAGTGGTGATATTCTCTGAGCTGGTTGACTTAGTTTCTCAGCTTTCACTGCCCTACTAGACAACATCTTCAGCGCAATCTTCAGTATGAAGTGAACATATCTGAATTCTTCATGAATGCTATAGTTGTATCTCCTGAAAGTCTTGGTTTTGATTGATACATTAATGTTGTTCGTTTTTGTCGACTTGGACTTTCCAAGTCAGTCATCTCAGAATTATCCAAAAACATAAACAAACAACTTGACTCTAATAATTTTATTGAATAATTCCAAGTTTTTAAATAATTGATATTACATGGCATGAGAAATATGCGCTATGTCTAATCCAACAGTTTTTATCTTCAAGTCAATCAGTGTAGATGCTCAGCCAACTAAAGTTAAGATTTTATCCAACTTTTTAATTTCAACTTCGGGTCCTTTCGGTTGGTCTAGTCCTTTCTTTTCCTGTTAAGTTAACAAAATGAATAATCAATATATGAATACATTTACGTAGATAAAGTCAAATGTACTATATATATTATAATAATTTTCATTCAACCATAAACCTATTTTGTAAATTATTGATCCTCAACGGCTTATTATTTTGAAGTCTTGGTAGAATTAAATTCTGTCTTTATGATAGAGCTTTTAGGGCATTCTACTCATCACTCTTAGTGATTTCAGGTTCAACTCAGTGAACTAAGCCCTAGGAATGCTGATTAGAGTAAAAGTGGCGACTCCGCACTCAAAAAGTGCTAGCTTGGTGAATACTTCTCATAGAGTATATACATGAGTTAAATATGTCTCACCATTTCACAACTATACTTAGTTTGACTAACTTTCAGAATGTTTTTTGAAGATCATTTTGGTTGCGTAGTGAGTATGATTCTTTTGAAGAAGATACATAATCATCTGGTGGTTTCTGTTTTCTAAATTCAGTTAAGTTGGGCTGCAGAATTGTCAAAGTTCTTTCGAATTATAATATTTAACTCTATAAGTAGAGATTTTTGTTGTATTCTTTGGATTAGGTTGTTTAATTGCCCGGTGTTCATTGTCCGTCTAGATAACATGTTTGGAGATAGCTTACAAAAGCACATTTAATTTTGATAATTATCTTTGAAAGGACAATGTAAGCACAACAATTAAACCATCTGGATCAGATAATACAATTACACCAAAAAACACCCGCTTAGGCTGCAAATCTCACTGCGCTTAGCTTTCCTGCTGTTTACTTTTTCAAAAAACGTATCAACGCATGAGCATATTCTGATGATAACTAAACATAGAAAAGTAAGTAACGCCATTGCATGAATTCTGTTACTAGCAGGCGTTCACTACCGAAGATTTTCTTTTAAGATAGAGCAGAACAAAGAACATTGTCCTATAAAAAACTGTGTGCGTGACAACTGGCACCCTTCATTCGTTCAATTCCGTATATAAGCACATATATATATGAATATAATTGAGAAAAATATCTAGGAATTATCTGTAACTGATTAAAAATGCCCACTAAAATTTTCAAAAGAATGGATACTGAACAAAGAGTACTCTTTTCGATAAATTCATCTCAGGCTCTACAGTTTTATATACATTATAGTGAATGAATGAGTTAGTGTTATGAACAACATTAATGTTTAGATAACATCAAATCAATAATATTGATAGATTACAGTTGAATCGCATCAAGATAAAATAAGCTGAATGTCAGAAGAATTAGGAAGGATAATATTGCAAATTCATGAGTTTATAGTTTCTACTGAAGGCCAGGGCAATAGTAGGGGCTGGACTTGCTTCTTTTGAACACAGAGTGCTGGTTGTTTGAGGCCAATCGCAATAGCCTCTGCTGTTTGGAGCCTGCGGTGCTTCGATGTTTTTGGCAATTTATTTGGCACCCGGTATAATATAGAGAAGGATTCATCTAGGCTGGCTTTGTGGCCTGTTTGCACCAGATGTTCCAATATCGAGCTGTTAATGGTTTTCGCTACACCTTTACTTAGCCATGCTGGGAGATGTACTCCAACACGAAAAATCAAGTTCCTAGCGCAACGGCCAATATAACTCGCTCCACAAGTGCAGTTGAATTAAAAAATTAAACAACTTAAGCTTCCATAGTATTGTAAACTTATAAATTTCTTAAACCTAAATGAAATACTCAGCCTAGAATGGATATTGATCAGCATACTTCAACGAGATGGAGTTTAGCTGCATTCAATATAGATAAAATATTGTCTTTCACTCGAGATTATTTCAGACGATCAAATTGATCAACGCATATTCTAAGTCGGATTAATTTGAAAGAGAAACGTAGGCGATTTGATTTGCTGTTTAATCTTTTGAAGAAGAAACAGTCAAATTAGATTGACATAACACAAAATAGTGAGACTTTTGAGGAGAAAATGAAACTAAAGGGTAACCAGTTAGTTATGTCATCTAGATGGAATAGTAATGAACTCAGCTGAGTAAAGTTTCTAAATGATCCAACTCCGCCTTTGCCATTAACCATCGTATCTACAGCGTGAAGCTATGGCTAAAACACAAGAATCATCACCGAATCGAGTCTTAAAATGATATGTACCCACACGATGTGTGTTTTGCTTTTGACAGTCTGTTATATTTTGCTATGTGTATATGGATCGATATTCCATTATAACTGACAATATGCTTCTGTCTGTCCACTAACTAAATAAACATATATGACCTTGTTGTCATGTGACATTACAACCAATCATGTTAAGACTGTCTTATTGGTTCATGTGTATTAGCCATTTCCATATATACTTTTGTATTAGACACTTGTTCACACGTTTCGTACATCGCGTACCTTTTCACTCACACACTGATGTGACATTTGTTTTTCTTGTCTGGAAAATACAAGTATCATCGTAAACCTGGTGGTCTTCTGATTTCCCTCTTTCCGCGTCAGGACTATTAACTACTCGACGAGTACATAACAAAATGCAGTTGGATATTTGATCTAACTTTTACAAAAGGTGAAGCTTCGTAACATGTTTGAAAGTCTTTGGAGTCGATTACATTTTTACTATTACAATTACTTATATTTAATAGTACATGCAGCTCAGTTAAACAAAATACCTCACCGCTTCTTCAATTTTACATTTTGCAATATACTAGTCGAGTGGATATTTTATGCTAGATTTGTTCTGTTTTTAGTCCTATTTTTAACTAATGACCCCATTAGAGCAGTCTCACACATACACACAGTATATATTCTGTCATATGCTAATCTGTCAGCTGACTACTGGTTCACAAGAATGTGAACAAGCATGGGATTATAACGTGTTTGGAGTTAAATATCTTTTATGAGTGCAACACACAATGACCACGTTCTATGGGCTATAAGAAGAAAGTAGTGGTAGTGTTTGCTCTGTGTAATAGAATATTTATGCTTTACTATCCTAGCAATTGAAAAATTCGTTTTTCAGAGACACAGACTTTGAGAGTCTCAAACCACTGATTCATAGCATCATGTGGAACTCACCGCATCAGTTCACACTTATTTCCGTGAATTAGACTCAAATACATTGTACGGATATATTCCGTGTTTCAAACCTACCACCTTCAACACATTTCCAATCTAATCCTAGTTCATCTGATATCATATCAAGAAACAACTGTGGTTTAACATAAGTAATATCAGTCGTGGTCATCTGAATAAATGAAACTTAAAACCTCTTTTATTGATTGGTCTAACGTGACTATAATAAGGGTCTCATTACTAATCCCATTTTAACTCTATATAACGTTTGGAATTAAACGAAGGTGCCTGTGATCGGGAACTTCTATTGTTTTCATATCGTCAAACTTAAAAATTCCTGTCCCACATTCGTAAATTAGGACAGAACAGAATGTTGTTCATTAAGCTACCTGTTCGATTAGAAGCTGACACCAAAATTCACCCGGTCCATCAAATACAAAAAATAAGCTTTTTTCGATTGCTGCAACCAGTCTAGTAGGACTGATGAAACCTTCTTAATAAATGATCTGCTCGGCATACTGAACCACTTCTTTCCCTATGCTTAAACTAGAAGTCAGCGCTTCAGCAATGATAACAGTGAACTGTATGCCAACAGTACTTAGATTTTTACTAAAAGTTTTCAGAAATCTTTGCAGTTTATTTGCGTCTCCAGCTTTATGAATTAATATTAATTAATCCTACAAAAGTAACGGTGAATACGTTATTTTATGCTGATTAAAAATTCTACACGAAAACCCAACTATTTAATTATAATCACACGATAAATTTAAATTAATCATTATAAATAAAGGGCTTTTGTTTTAATTTACCTTTGGTAATTTACGTAAATTAGGCGACAGCTTCAAACTGTTTACCTGCCCACTAAAATAAAGAAAATAAAAGTTAAGTGATTGATTACGTGAATGCATGCAACTGTTTTATAGAATTTGAGAAAATATTTAGTCTTTTTATTCAATCTACGTCACACAGCGTAACTGTAATGTTAAGTTGGGAAAACTAATTAGCGATCGGAATTGAAAATTAGTAAACAAAACCACGTGTCTACTTGTAGTCAAGCGGAATGACATTTTTGTGAATATTTTGATTATTTTCTTTCCTCTTTATAGTATTTTATTCACAAAAATACGCATTGTGTACTGTATTACTACAAACATAGTCGCTGCACTGTCAAGGTTTACTTCTAAGTTCTTGCAGTAGCACGAAATGCGTTTTTGACGAAGTTTAGGCTCGCTTCAGCATTGTAGATGTGACTTACTTATGTGTACTAACAAACATGACATCTGAATTAAGTTTTCTATTAGTTGCTTATTACAATGTGCGTGGTATCCAACTACTAATATCCGTCACTCAGTAGTGTAGGACACGAACCATTTATGCTCGTTTACTTGATTGCCATTTATAATCCCAAACAGATCATATATTGTGATCTGAACAATTTCAACTTCCATAGTAAATTGTAGTGAAATGTCGCCTCAAGCCGTGTAAATTGCAAATCCTGAATTTGATCCAATGTATTACTAGTTCATCCAAGTAGCTGGCGAGAATTCGAGTGGTTTCAAATAATTCGGTTCTCTAAGCTGGATCAATGCAGGCATATCGGTGATGGGCCCAGACTCAAACGAACGGAACTACCATCCGTCGTCTAGGTCACTTCGATCTAGCTAGTAAACATTACTGCTTGACATGAGTGGTATCTAACTACTCACACCAATCAATCAATAGTATATAGACTCATGTAATAGAACATTAAATTTGAAACGTTTTAACATTAAATCGTTTGGTTTTATGGTAAATTTCTCAATCAATTTGATAAGACTTCATTAGTATGGAAAGTAGACCGTAATCCACTTACTAACTTTCATGAAATTAACAAATTCCTTTAGTAAGGGGTGCATCCTCCTTGTTTATAGAATTATACAACAAATGCTTAGCACTGATTAAATTAGTGAGTAATGTGCTGAAAAGCTGTTCGCTTGAAGCAATATATTCTTCAGATCAATCCAATGTAATGCATTCATGTCTCGTTTAAAGAGCACCCTACCGTGTATTTTGGACTCTTCAAGGTGAAGTGGATTTCATCCACTATGGATTTTCCACTTCGCTGAATAACTAAAACGAAAAAGTGATATTTTTCATTTGTCAATTTTTTTAATAATCCGGGTGTAAATCCCGACCAAATAGCTTTAAATCCTTCATGTTTTTACTCTTCAGCTTGGATTCCCATGTTTCATCACTAGTAAGTATACGATATTCATTGTTCGAATTTGTATGCATGGTGTAGATATTCGCGTGGATGAATGAAGTGATGCATTTTTCAAGGAAAACTTTTTCAACCATTTATTCCTTAATTTGAAATTTTGAGGGAAGAAACATATTTTTGTATTCCACCCCCATCCCCGCCACACACAAAATCTTATAAAATGATGTAAAGGAACAAAAATAAACACCCTTAAACTTACTGATCGTCACCAACAATAATTATACTATATTTTGGATTAAATGCGATATGAGTTAATTTTGTCTTTTTTTTAGCTACCACTAACTGATTACACAATGGTTCGTATTTGTTTATTGATAAATCATAAACGTGGACACGACCATCAGCTGTAACTGCTGCGAAAACAGTAGAAGAATACGGTGCCCAGGCTACATCACCTACTGGTGATCCCAGGTCGAATGTGAATATTGGTGTACTGATCGTCGATGAATATAATACATAGTTTTGAAAAATAGGAAAAGAGGAGACGAAAGAGCAAAAATAAATGGAAACTTAGGAATCATATAGTAATACGAAATTAGTTTTAAATTTTAAATTGCAGCTGCATCGCCGCAGTAAGTATAATCTCAGATAAGAGTTAGTTCGCTGAACAATTTGTTTTTTTAACTTACGTTGATAAGAATTGTGTCAGTTTATTAGAAGCGTTTGAAGAAATGCGGTGAATTGAGGTTCCCTTCTTGCTAACATCATTCATCAGGACATTTCTGTAGCCATGAAAGTACTTATTTATTTACAAAAATAATAGGAATACCACATTTTAGTGTGGAAATTAGGAGATTTATTCCCGAGATACAACTGGAATAAATATTACCATTACTCCTTTGGATACCGAGTAGAAAATAGGGCTTCAGCAGCATAAGCAGCCTATATGTCGTATTCATTTAACCTCACCTAGTTTACTCACTGGTCCTAAGCTCAGAAAAAGAGGGAAGCCTTAGCATAGAGCTAGCGACCCTACTCCAGAAAATAAATCCAATAGCTACAGAAACTTCAAACCACAGAAAAGATATCTAAAATGAGCGTGCTATTCTCTGCAACCGGAGAGATGAAATAATGTTAGCTGGTGAAAGCCTTTAGGAAGTCAGTTAGCCGATGTGTCTGTCTTCTTTTAATGAAAGTGAAAATAATCATGGGAAAATAGGATGTCCTTGCGATATTTGAAGCAGGGAAGGCTGTTCAGATCGTTAAAGAAATGAGAACAACAAATAGGCTGCAAACATATGGAATCGAATACTCTACATATTTTCAACTACCTACCTTTCAACCGTATTGTGAGTAGTGTAACTAATTCTCATTTTTTGTTATTGCTATTCTTTCAAGAAAATTTGTTCACTGTCGAATATATATTGTGGTCTGTAGTCCTTCAGATGATCTTTATAATTAACAAAAAAAAACGTGGTAAACAGAGTAGTGGTTTACTAACTACTCTTATTCCCTTTATTAGTTTTTGCCAACAATTTTTAGCTTCATAAAACGTACCGATTCACAATTTTTTTGCATATTTATCCACCTCTGAGTTAAGGTTAAATAGGACAACTTGTCTATGATTCTATGCAGAACGAGGATAGTTTCAATGCAGTTACATAACACTCTTAGTGTCGTAACGAATCTGCCTATAACTCTATATGAATCTGAAGTTAAACACTGCCATAAAGAGAACAAATTCTTCGAATTTCCTGGTTTATCTAGTTGCCGAGCGTGAATCCTAGACTCACCACTTCCATTTATCAAAGATGAATATTTAACACTATCAATCATGTATTTAATATAGCTGTTAATTGATGTTTCAAGTTTACATAACAGTCAGACAATGACTATTTTACTATAAGAAGTTGCGATATTAACAAAAAGAGCTGGCAAACAATGAGAAAACAAGTCGATAACATTACAAATAATATAATCCCTGTAATAATAAAAATAATTATCACTATAACAGTAATATGTGTTATTACTTGTTGGCTTTTAGCTAAAGAAAAAAGCAAACAAAATGAGACTAGACATGTTGATATTGTTTTAAAACTTAAGTTACTACGGTGATTTGTTATTGTCTTAAACATGATTGTTATATACCAATGTGAAACTTCCACTTAACAAGAAATGAATATAAATGAGAGATGTGACATATAAAATAAGATGGTAACTCATAAAATGAAAGGATATTTTGATGTGATCATCTCAGAGATGTAGTGAGAGTAAAAACAGGATTGAACCGAAAAAAAACCTCACTTACACTCGTAGTCGAACTAACAGCTTCTTGATTGTAGATTCAACAGTCTAATGACAGTTACAACATCCAACGTTTGTCCTATGTGTTAATTTGCCTTTAAATAAAGGCTAAGTGAAATATTCTTATTAACCGAGATGAAATTACTGATCGACCGGTATAGTTTTAGAACCCTTTAAGTCTGAATTTTAACTTGGTCCGAGATTACATTCGATTATGCACTGAAAATAGAAGAAATCCACTCAAAAATATTTGTCTTACTTATATTCTATCGTTATTGAGTAGAGATTGTGGCGATTCCTCATTGATTTCGGGTCAAAAGCGTGGAAATCTATCTAGAGAATGATTTACGCGATTTTGATGATAATTCAAGACGCTTACAAATAAATAGACAGATTAACGAAGAACCTACCGTACACACAAGTGCACTGTTTAAAAACAATTACATTTTATGTTATAGAATAGTAATCCCTCTTTATTTAAATTCCATCTGTCAGTGTCTGTATATAATATGTGGTCTGGAAATTCCTTGGAAAGAGTACATCAGATATGTGCACTGCATTGAGGCTTTTATAGTTAGCTAATTTCACTGATGAATAATATTTAGTATGACTAAAAATATCTTAATCTGAACTTCAACATATTTAGAATGGTGGATGAATATTTTCTAAAACTGTGCTGAATATGAAATTTCTCTTGAAGACCTAATGTTGATGCTTTGAGCTCGAAATATTGGGTGAACGTTAGGCTTTAGAATACAATACGAACAGATTTTAAAAAAAGTGTGAAATGAAGCTGGACTTTTCTAATGAACACTCCTGAGTCAGTAGTCTCCCTTTCAGATGATGCGATTTAAGAATAAAATATGACAATATAAAAATTTAAAATATTTTTTAGTTCCGATGAGTATTCAGTAGATAGTTTTGTGTACTTAGATTATAAATTCAAACAAGTAGGATGATGCTGTCTAGTTACAAGCAATATTTTTACTGCATTTGAAATATAATATTTTATTACGTTCCACGATTACGTTACCCTTTATCTAATGTATTTGTATATGGATTAAAAAGGCAGGACAGGTTACTTGTTATATTCAAGCGTTTCACTTACTGAACCTAAGGTGAAGTGGTGGTTTTTGGAGTAGCATCCTCATTAAAACCTTACCAGCACACGGTAAGTCTGGGGGTACAGTTTTCGATGTTGACCTTTTCTAACCCCATCTATTCATACAGAAGAGGCAATACAGCTGGTTTAGTGTAAGGTGGGGGAACCTTATCTCTGTTACATCCCTATTTACAAGTAATAAAACTTTTCCTGATATAATGTCGACGACTTACACTATATTGGTAACTGTATTCAGTCTAACCTCTATGCAGTCGACCTTTCTTGCATGGTGAGACTTGCAGGAAAATTCATTCCAGCCAGTGGGGTTTGTTAGGTCATTTTAATATACCAACCCAACCACCACATCAAGGTAATGGGTATCGGCCGGGTTCATTTTAAGAACCCATTTAATTCCTCTTTGCAATTGAAAGCACTATTCAAGTGTTACGAATACTTGCATAAAGAATGTATTTTTAATCTCACTGAATACTAGCTAGCCGGGCGTAATTGGATATCAGTACATGTATTATTACTTATTCAGCAAACTTGTATGTGTTCACCGCCCTTTAATGAAAGGAATGATACTTCAGCTTGCAAGGAAACTTGAATATACATCAGAGCAGACTGAGTAAATGTGGGAGCTTCAGGTTTCTCAGCTGAGAATCAACAAAAATGGCATCAATTCATCTATAACTTATCTTTATAAGTTATTCCATCGACCAATATTTCTCGATTATTTATCTGCTTCATAGCATTGCTTATTTATGATGACATTTCCACCTCAGTTAACTAACATGAAACATGAAAAATCGATTTGGTAGATCACTCTATTATACCCTGTGTTACTTACTTATTTTAGTGAATATCAAGAAGGGCAATTATCAAAGCCAACTGCATATATAGCTGTAACGATAGAAGATAAGAAATTCGGTGAATAATTTGGTATCTCTATTTAGCAAAATTATGAACACCTTATTGTCAAATCAGCATTTGTACAGATCTTCCGTGTTGTGCAACTTCTGGCCTTCATATTGTTTTTCTTTGTGTTCCCTTCACGTCTCCCATTTATCTCTGCAACGTTATATAATTTGCTTTCTTTGACATCATATCTATTTACCTGCTTTTTCATGGTTTTTATGTCTATAAACGTCTCTTTGCATACTGCTGATAAATCTTATCTGTAGCACACGCCACACAACTACATTTCCAAAATCGAATAGTTAAAGTGCTCACGTCTGAGATCGTGATGAGACTCGAAATAACGATTATGATCATTGTTTCTGATTTGAAACTATTATTATTATTGGTCTGCTGAGTAATGGTTATTAGATGTAATGTTGTGGTGAGAGCTGGCTACTAGCCGAATTGGTCGACAGTAATATACGTCAATATTTACCTCCTCAATATTGGTCGTGAGAAAATATGAACAAAGACTGATTTTGCGTAGGCGGATACAGTTAGCATATTGATGATCTGACATTCAAGAAACAGCCATAAAGAGATGAAAGATTAACTTTCAATGAGAAACAACCAATCAGCAGACTGTGTTTGTTTGCTTAAATAATCTATGATAATGTACATGAAAATATATAAATGTGTTGATTTCCTTAATAAATAATCTGTTGTCTGGCCCTTGTCTTCTGTTGTTACAATATAAGTAACAATAGAGTTTAGTTATAAACACTTAATTTATCATCTTGCTACTATTTACAAACAAAGTGACATGACAAAAGCTTTCGTTTGCTATAGCGTTTACTATTCGCAAAGCTTACGTCTATTTCCTTTTGTACATCAAAACACAATAATACGACAAAGTGCCTGTTTTTCGATGTAGTTTTTGCATAGAAAGCAGCATTTTTTTAGTCATTTACAGTGTCTCTGGGAAACAGACTCATCTCAAGTTTATTTTGTTACTGATTGATTTAAGAATTGCATAGTCAATCCGAATAAATGCCTGGTAAATTCCGGCCTTAACTTCACTCTCAGTATTGAGAATTGGCATGTGATACGAGTAACAGGCAACTGTTCATATCAGTCAGCACAATACACGGCACTTCTTTTATCAAGGTTGCATTGAAGTGGTAGAACGACGAAAAAAAAATTTCATTCCAATTCACAACTCTCAAATTCTTTTCTGATTAATTAAGTGAGGCTTCATATCTCCTGTAGGATAATGATACTTTTACACAAAACGTTTAGAACCTGATAATACGTGTATTCCATTAACTGTTCTGTTTTGAGGTATGTAGCTTTATTTTCTCTTGAATGCCGATTACTCAGTGTTGGTTTACTCCCACGTTGTATTGAGGCTCCATCACTTTCAACCTAAATGATAGAGTTGTTTGCTGAGTTTACAGGCTCTAGACTTTGCTAAATAGTAATGTACTTAATACTAGTGGTGTTCATGAGGCATTATATGACAGAGTAATTTAACTGTGTCCAAATTACTATTATTCCATATTAGATTAGCATCATAAAAATGTGTTTTGTTCCTAGTTATCTGTCTAGAATGAAATATCTATTTCGCGGTAATGTATATTGAAATCCAAACTTCTTTCCTGATGCTACTAATTACCTCTTTACTAAAATAACCTGTTCATGTCTGTGTTTTCGCTACTTCTTTTCTCTATTCTGAAATCAGATCGGACTTGATATGACTTGTATATTAGCCTATAATACACCCTTACAGTTAGTGGAAATCAACGAGAGATATAAAGATGTCAAATTAACAAAATCAACCAAACTAGGCGAAGTTAGGTAAAAATAGAAATACAAAAGAAATTAAAGTAAATAGAATTGATAAGTATTGAAGATTTGGAAGAAAAAGGACTAAATTATTAGCATAAATACGCTGATCAAATCATTTGTCTTCGTCAAATACGACTAAGGAAAACCACATCTTTGACTGAGACAACAATAGAACATTTGAAAATGCATTCTCAAAACACAGCAACAGCATTTCTGAAATGAAGCAGCCATAAACAGATAGGTTGATATAAACTCAATGTAGGGACCACTAGGAATAATAAAATTAATACCATTTACAAAATAAGTTGTATGAAATGTAACGGATATTACGTCAGTCAAAGTGGGTGTCCTTTTCGAGTCAGAATCCAAGAACACAAATTAGTTGTAAAATGATCGATATGTATATTCCTTTCATATCAATGCATGTAGATAGCTATGGACAGCAATTTGATTGGGATAATGTTGAAATTTTAAACAGAGGAAACACCGGAAGTGCCAAAAAAGCCTGAATTAGCGATTAAAAAACATATTAATATAGACCGAATTCACCAACTAATAAAAAGTAAATTATATGGCGAGAAAGTTCAAAATCCAAGTCAATAAAAACTGATCAAGTTATATATGTCCAAACCAAGTCCACTTTTAACAGTTTGAAAAAATTTGGGTATATGTTATTCAAAATAATAAAGGTTTTTGTATTTCCCAATGAACGAAAAACAAAACGATATTGTTTTTACTGACGTTTCGCTATTTAATGCTAATAGCCTTATCAAAGTATTATTAAACCAGAATTTACAAAACCTCAGTACAGATGTAAAGCGACTACCATTCACAAAGAGACACAATTCTATCATTCATGGGGAATTTAAACCAGTTCCTTTGATGCTTAAACTTGCGCTGAAGATGTTGTCCAGAAGGATGACGAAAGCTACGCAATTAAAACAATCAGCTCACAGAACGCAACTAATTGCAAATAAGTCAACCAATTAAAAGTTTACTGAACAAATTACTCACACTCAGTGGAAAATTCCAAATATTCAAACAACTAGCCAAGGTGGAGAAGGCTGACTCACGACATGCAAATCACTTTCACCTACAATCCAATAATATTCAATCTCAACAAATATGCTACCTTCCTAATCAAGTTAATTGATAATATTAAACTATTTAGAGTGAATTTCAGTAATTACAATGCAAGTCAGTCGACAGGATGTGAAAAAACCGACATATGAATTTTGATATCTTCAATATACACTTTATATTTATTGTTAGACGAATAAGCAGACATAGACTTATGTTTACTAAGTTGTAATATTTTGAAAGAGTAGACAAAATGAAACAGTTATTATTTACCAGAACCTTCAAACTCAGTTCGTTAAAAATAATAATTGATGCATATATAGTACACGTTTACGATACTAAGATTCATCTGATTATGCTCAGCGATAGTCTTAAACTTTCCCTGGGTTATTTAACAATCAGGTTTTTACAGTTATTAATTTCGTCATTTCAAGCAAGTAAAATTACTTAATTTTCCTTTGAATACCATTGAAATATTAAGAGTTAAATAATATTGGTCCGTTAGGAAGTACTTTTCATTGATTCAGTCTTTCAGTTTTTGCTCGGTAAGATATTCTACAAGTCGGTTCTGGTGGCCCTCAGTTTGCGTTAGACTGGTGAAGTCTTGGGCGATACCAAAGCAGCCAACCTTTAACATATATACCGTGACAGACACGAAAGTGCAAACACCAGACATTGTAAATATAGAATCTTTCATTCCCGTGCCGCAAGTTGTTATATATGTATATATATATATATATATCCACAACTTTTCACTAAGATGAAATACTGAATAGTATTCGAATAGACACACTATACCATATTTAGCAAATATTACTGGTAAACAATTGGGCTGACTGGTAATGAGCAGAATTGGACGCATTATCTAAACTAGACAGTCAGAGATGACAGCTCACTAGGTTTCGCGTGGTTTCAACTGATCCGGCTCGTCACTCTCAGTCTCTCCATGTATACTACTGATAAGCTCTTCTCTAAAAGGTAATCCAGTGTATGGATCACTTCATTCCAGCTAGAAAGTACTACTGTTTACCGTGAATCATTTCCAACTACTTACACGAATCGGTAATATTTACCGTCATGTTATTATAGTTATCTTTTGGTTGCCATTTGTATTGTCAAAGCACAAATCACGTTTGTTGACCTGAATATTTTTAGTTTCCAAAAGAAGTTGTACTGAACCTTCACCTTGAACTGTATAATTCGCAAATAACAAATTTAATTCAACACCACAAGTCCTTAAAAATTCACTATTACCTAATTATTAGAAAGGTATAAAATTAAACTCAGTAATTTAAAAATCTATAAATTTCATTGTTGCAGATTTTGAGGAATTAGATATCAGGAAATGGATATTGTGATGCCAATGAAATATCTGTGCAGATTTTGCTGATTTCAAGGTAAAATGCTCCACAAGATGACGCTGCCCAGTGAATCACTAAAAACTAAGTAATGCTAGACAGCTGTTTCCTTCTATTTAACACTGATTAGTGGTGTGAACGCATAAACCCACAAGGCTTTGGTGTCACGACTGTTCAGTTTTTAAATAAGCACTTAAGTAACCAAAGATCCAGTCGGATTACAATCAACCATCATTTCCAACTCTTGAAAGCTAGTCACAGAATGACATTCAGACAATACAGTCGAGGAGGGAATACACTCAAAGTCAGTTTCATGGAGTCTGGCAGTACGTAACTGAATCATGGTTCTAATATGGTGAATGGTGAGTAGCAGTGGAATTCAAGACGTGCATTTCGTCCTGTTTTCAACTCGTCATCTAGATGTACCCGCAATACTGAGCTGGTAAAACTGTCCCCAATCAGACTTGAATCCACCCACCATTTCAAACTCCAAAGCGTTATCCACTTTGGCCACGAGAGGCACCTCTTGGGCAACGGAAATCAGTTATTATTTGTTTTTTGGTCAACTTCAATTTTCCCGTTGATTGATTGGATAGGAATGTTCGACCTCTGTTAGCATATCGCTTCTTAATACAGACGCTTCACCAATGTCTCAAAAATGAATTATTCATAGCTCTGTCTAAATACCAGTATCATGAGCAATAAGCACTCTAAGCTGTAGAAATATATCGTAATCTTAACAACATAATATATTGTTGTGGTTCACCATGGTGACATTAAAAACTGATTAAGTGTTGGTTTTATGGAAGAATCTGTGTAGGCGTCCACTTATATATCTGTTGTTACTACACTTAATAATATCAGCATATTTTCTTGTCTTATTGTTAATTATATTTTATAGATAAAATTGTAAAAGCCGAAGAATTAGCCTGTTATGTTGCAGGATGGAACTCAATAATTATTTCCCTAGGAGCATTATTTATTCATCTTCGGACTAATCAATGTGGACAATAATAATAATAATATCGTTATTATTATTAATACTGAAAACAAATAATCTGAATAGCAAGATAAGTACTGACTGCTTGTTTGTTCTGCATCAATTCTTGAAACAGGAGAATCTCACCTATGCTAGTTGGAAACTACGGGAACGAAACACTGAGTGTGTCTTCTCCTCTCTCCCTCTCTCTCTCTCACACACCCACTTAGAGTAAAGATGATGGATGTGTGGCGAGCTTTCTGCCTTCCCTCCGATTATCTTTACTTTAAAAAAAACCTGGGTAGTGCTTTTATGTTAACAGAAAATCTGACTCACCTTTTTCTATGATGCCATATTTTAACTGTCCAATCAGCTGAACATGTAATAAATATATCTGGATGGAATAGATTCCACGCTACACGATAAACAGGCATATGATGTGCTTCATAAGTTGCTAAATACTGTGATGTATACGCTTTGCTACACTTATATACCATTCCTTCTTCTGTAGCTACAAGGAATAAATGACTTTGTGTACGATGAAAGTCGAATGCTGTACCACAATCTGTTGTTGGAGAGAGGATAAATGGAAGATAGAGTGGGAAACAGAATTATGATGAATCCAAAGTTAATTGGTATTAAATTGGAAATATTTAAGGACACATTATTTGTCTGATTAGCGAATACTATTTGCATCACACGTTAATGCGATTTTGTTCAGTGTATAACCCTTAACAATGATCTTTTCGACGATCCAATAGATAAGTAAAAGGATACTGGCGTTTGCTGCAAAACAGGAAGTGTAGTTGAAATGCACTTATGGCGAAAAACTAAAATATACTAGATAAGTGTGGAGTAAATGGTAATTTTACATCATATTATATATATAACCCTTGTGTATTACCTATATTGATTGAAGGTATTAACTGCACAAGTAGACAGGCGTATGCAGTTATATGAGACCCGCCACAAAATTTCGAATCCTAGTTCGATGTCATTTTGACTCTGTATACTACTGGGTGATTGAAATGATTAGTTGGACGCCACCTACATCAACCAGTAGTACTTGCCAGACAAATCAATGTGATCTAAACAGGTAGTGTGATCTGAATAATTTCGGTTTTCAATAGATACTGTGGGGAAATTTCATCTCGAACTGTATAAATTGCAAATCACTAATTAATTTGCACATTGCCAGTTTGATCAATTTTGTTTTGTCTGATTCGAGTTTGATTAGTTAGTTCGGTCCTATCAAGGAGATGATTATTATCTTATATATGAATGATGTGGTAGGAAATTTAACCAAGAGATAATCAGTCGTTTTAATGAAACTATTGTAGAGATTACTTTTAAAACAAGATTGATTCCCTTCGAGGAGAAGGAGAATTTTGCATGCTAAAACCAAACCAAGTATGTGTTGAATAGACATCAAGAACACTTTTAGTCCTTGTCGGTTCTTCGAGGGTGACAACTCATATCAGGTGATACTGCGAATGAAATAATGATAAGATCTTTCTTTAGATTCTAGAATTGACAAATACTCGATTTCATCTAGTACAATTCAATCAAATTGAGCAGTCAAGCTAGAGAAGAATTCGGTATGCTTCAGTAATGTAATGAGTGGTTCTGAAATTAATGAATTACTGTTATTGTTGTTATTATTATTGTTAGTTCTGACTAGTGAAACAATGGTTGCATAGGTGGAAGCCAACTCATCCTTTGAAATGCATATAATAAACAACAGAAATGCTCCTCTTGAGAAGCACACATAGTATTTTATGACTTAACTTTCCTACTGAAATAAAAGTTACCTGCTTCAATAGCTTACTTTTCGAGTTTGCCTTCAGATGAGTGGAACGTACAACCTTTATCCAAGCTAATTCCATTTACCACTAGAATAAATTTGATGAAAGGCATTTAAGACTATTCAGATAGCGAAGCTACTGACTTAGAATTCCGTGTTCATTTAAATTCGATATATAACATAATGATACAGCATTATATACTGAATGACCTTTCTAGTGTATTTTACATCTCATAATGTTATGGTCTCAATGGCACTGTCAACATGAGGGTTGTATGCAGAATTAGCCGAACAGAAGGACACAAGCGCACTGTATTTTAACCTAACCATCTATTTGTTTGTTTTCATCTGTTTCACTAAACCCTGCAGTCTATCTGAATTTTTTTTCATAAAAATGTTCTTGGTTTGTCACCTGCATTACAACTAATTTCATTATGTAGTTATACTAGACAGCTTACAAGTAAGCCTAGTTTAAAATAATACAGCTTGGAACGTCTTAGCTGACACGGAGGTGAATGACATTACCGGAACTCTTTTCCACGACTGAGACCAAAAAATAAGGTACATGAAAAGTATCTTATCAGCCAAATATGCATATCTTATTTCCATTTCATCCTAGATACTTTTTAGGCGTTAGGTCCTCCGTTAGTTTGTTGCCAGAGTTCCTTGATGCTAATCTTTTCTAGAAGATTATCTGATTTTCAGCATAGAGAGAAGGTAGCTGTTGATAAAAGTATGAAGCCTCTTGGTGTAAACGTTTCCAACGACTTCAGCGCCAAGTTCCTAGAGCGCATAAAATTACTGACTCGACGTTATCGTTGAAAATTTAGATCTTGTTCCTCATGCTGAGTACAGTAGATTCCCATACTGATTTTGGACTAATGAAAGTACATCTTGCTTTTGGGTATTCATCTTCATCACCTCTCTCTTCTCTAAGTTCACTTGAAATCCTGTCTTCTATGTTTCTTCTGCCAACTTGTCGGTTTTCACCTGTAGATCTTCCAGTTTGTGTGACGTCAGATATAAATAGTCCACGAAGTCCAAATCTTCTTGATTATTCTTGTTGGTTCAACATATACCCATCTTCTAGTTCCCCATGGTTTGTTGCATGATCCCTTCCACTAAACTCGCAAATATCATAGATGAGAGTAGGCAGCCTTGTCTTATTCCTGTCTTCACTTCGAATGCATTCCTGTGGTTTCGGTTGTCAATCACTTGACATATGGCATCACCAGATAGTTGTTGGATGAGGTTATTAAGGGTTTTAGTCCCTTCCTAGTTTTGAAGCAGCACAGAAAGTATGTAAAAAGTAAACTTATGGGAAAAACAATACTAAGTAAAATAAACCTCGGTTTTAAAATTGGATTACCATGGCATATTCGAAGTAACAGCTATTAACTTTTGAAAATCATGAAACAAGCTTAGGCCTTTTTATGGCTAGGGCTTCGACGAATTCAAGTATATATGAGTCCAACGTGTAACACTGCAAATGCAGATCAAGCTACAGAGAAGTCAATCTGCCAATTGTCAACCTTGAAAAATTTAAACAAGGCGTTGATTTACATAAGATACTCTATCAAGTTATATTGCTGTCTAAATAACTAGTGGGAACATATTTAATACAAATGAATAGTAAAATATTGATTCAAAAGCTGATAATTATTATCATACAAGTAACGCATAAACACTGAAGTATTTATTCAGCCATTACTATTGTTTTCTTTTTCTGTTTTATTCTCAGTATTAAAGAAACTATTTATCAATCTTTAAATTATTGTTAAACTGTTATGGTAACAATGATTTCTAGTCTTTTCATAATTACTTTTAACTGAACGTGTTCAAATATCTATTCAATAAAAGTTCAATGTAATTGAGTCAACTTGTCATTATCTCCAGTTGATGTGAATAATATTCACGGTATATCCTATCCCAGCTTAGCTCTCTCAAAAAATTATTATCATTACTCGAGGAGTAAAGATTATGTAATTTCTTTTTAACTAGTTTATCAGAAAATGTCTAACACTAAAACACTTTTTAAATTACTGGATGTAATTGTTTGTTTGTGACAACTCCGTAACTAAGAGGATTGTTTAATGCAAAAGTTAATGGTCACATCTGGTTAAATGAAATTTGATCGTGTGCTAGCTAGAAGCAACATAACGAGAGTTCTAAGCTCACTCGAATCTGTTATAAAATTGCTTTAACAAGTCGGTATTTGAATAATCTTTGGCCATTGTGAATTGGTATGATGTTAACACTTCAACAATTGATACGAACATCAGTCAGTAGTGCTTGTTAGCTAGATCATAGTAAAATGAATACTACACAGCCATATAGCTTGTGTGCTGCTAAACTCTTCATTGCTATTACTCAGAATGATTTGGGTTTACTCTGGGAAACCAGATGGAGTTCGGGTGTTTTAAGCTGGTTCCGTTCTTGGAGTTGTCTCAATTAGAACATGTGACTGGTAAATTCAGCCCGAATTGTTGAAATGGTCCCTAGCTATAAAGTGACTTCTATTTAAGTACTCACATCAGTTAGTAATATAAATGTAGTAGTAATTTCGCTCAGTTTTCATGGTGTACCCGGGACGTCATCCAGTTATTAATGCTATATCACTGTGTATTATTATTCATTATATTATTTAATTCCTTCGCGTTCCGAATGGAACATAGGGCTTCAAGCCTGAACTTTGAAGTTTCAGTAGCACCGGTTTTATTTGTACGGGATGGAATTGATAGTTTCACGCCCAACCTTCCCTCTTTGCCGGGCTTATTACCAGCTAAGCGACGTTTAGGAGTATGTCGGCGGGGGGATAGAACTCTGGCCCATCTGAGTGGCTGGAGAACATTCAACCTCTGCGCCATCGACGCAATTCACTGTGCATTATGTAAAATAAACTATTCAACATCGAATTATATTCTAATACAGTGTTCAAAGTCTACGCTTACATTAATAATGTAAATCTGTCTAGTTAATAATCTCAAGTGTCAGGAAAAGTGCGTTTTTATTTCTTTTTAACAAAACAAATGAAACCGATGTTTTCATATGCTGTATTAATTTCAATCATTTTGATTGCAATTGATTAAATAAACTTAAACAAGTTCAAACTGATTAATGCACAGTAAACTAATTACCAAAATACCTAATGAAAACAAATAAGATAACAAGAACTTGTAGGCATGCTCAGCTTTTTAAACAAAAAAGTAAATCGACCAAAAAGAAGCTGAAACAGATATGAACGAAGTATGAAATATGTGGTAATGGATTAAAAAGAAATATAATAATATCTTATTCACTATTCAAGAGTATACTGTAAGTAGATACTTTTATTTCATTGTAATTTATTCTAAGCCATCTAACGTAGTCAATTGTCTTTCATAAATCTCACAAAAGAAGCTTACATTACGTGATACGCTTAACTCCAGAAGCTAAGAAAACGTCTGATACACTTTTACTGTTTGGTTATTAAATAATACTTCTGTCTCGCTCAATATTGGTTGTACTGTTGTCTTCTATTTCATTTAACAAGTGAGCATGTTATGGGGATTGTATACTTCAAAAATAGATATTAAGAAGGGAAACGGTATTAAATGTTTCAAGGAGCTAATCGAAGAAAAATCCTTTAACTATTATTTTGTGTGCAACATCAAGTTTCATACCTTGTTGACGGTAGTTACTGTCTATGAACCAGTTCTCACAGAGAAAGAGTAGAAGCGCAGTCACTATACACGTATACAAAATATCACAAATTTTCTACA